AACGCTGAATGGGAGGACATGAGAACTAGCGTCATTGGCATGATGGAGTTCACTATGTTCGGCATACCGTACGTTGGAGCCGATATTTGTGGCTTCAGCGGTAACACGACGGAGGAACTGTGTGCCCGTTGGCATCAACTGGGAGCTTTCTATCCGATGTCACGAAATCACAACAGCGATGATACGATCGCTCAGGACCCTAGCCAATGGAACATGGTTGCTAGCGCCGCTAGAGCATCTCTCAATCTGAGATACACCTATCTTCCGTATTTGTACACGTTGTTTTACAAGGCCAACAAATACGCAGAAATGGTGGCGCAACCGCTGTTCTTTCAGTTCCCAACAGATGAAGAAACACTTGATAAGGACGAACAGTTTCTCATCGGTCCGGCATTGTTGATCACCCCAGTTCTGTATGAAAATGAAGCAAGTGCCACTGGCTACTTTCCCGAAGGGGTTTGGTACAACATCTATGAGGATGAGTTCTTTGGAAAGGCATATCATAAGGGATACCACCATGTGGAGGTTGCACTTAACGGCTCAGTTGGTGTGCACGTTCGAGGCGGTTACATCCTCCCTCGGCAACCGCCTGGCTTGAACACAAAAGAGAGCCGACTTCACCCGATGCAGTTGCTCATCGCCGCACACATGAACCTCAGCGAACCGCATAAGGGTGACTTGCACTGGGACGATGGTCAGAGCCAGCGGCTGGACACGCACTTTGCAGACCTGGCGTTCGAGATGGTTAAAATCGAGCAACAGTTCCGCCTGACCATAACAATGATCACCAAGGTGTCTTGTTGCCTGGACCCCACCACTGCCATACCGAAACTGGATATGGTCGAAATACTTGGTATTCCTTGCAATGACAATGCCACTGTTGAAGACAAGAGTCACAGGGAGGTTCCAGTCACCGTCGAATGCCAACCCAAACTGAATCGCCTGCGCATCACTTTCACGCAGCCATTCGACTTGAACAAACTCAAAGAAAATGAAGCGCTTGATCTATTTCTCACAGGTTTAAACAAATGATATTTTTCTTCAATCATACCTTTGCTAATCTGATCAAATTGCCATGTGTGAAATGTTTCTCTTATCGAATTATTTTTTGACAGTCTTTCATCATATATGGAATATTTATTCCTTTTAAGGAACCTGTTATTTTCAACCTCTCCTCTCTATAATTTCAAGATTGACTCAAGCACCAAATTTGCATTTCACGTTAACTATGAAGTAAGTTAGCGTTTTCTGGCACGTTCGAAATCAACAGCAATAACTTTTATATCCGGAGGCGTGTTTGTTCAAGTTCCTCCATATGCAAACTTCCTCGTCGGTGTTTCTGACGATTCAGTCTCAAATGAGGATAATATTCCGCGAAAAGCAAAAAGTGTAGTTCATTAACTTCAGTTAAGAGGCATGGGAGTACAGTACCTACGGGATCGACTTGAAACTTCACATGTGCAGGTTCGAACTCGCTAGAGGGTCAGCTATTATTTTAACAACGAATTACTCTGAGCAAAAAATTGACTCTGCGTTGCATCGGTGCAACCGGTCGAGAAACGAGTGGTAAGTGAGTGAAAGAACAAAATAACGAATAACAAAGTCAATACAGTATCCCAGTGTTTATAAAGGAATGGACGCAGTACATCGCCATGCAGTCTGATGCAAGTGCTGCATGTGGTTGCTCGTCGCCTTCAGCACAAGATGTACGCAGATTCTTGTTTCTTCTGATCGATCTGATATGATGGTTTAAAATTTCGAAATATAAGTTTTCATACAGTATGAAGTTTATACTGGGAAACCAATATTTGAGGCTATCACAGACGTACGATTGGTAACCACACCAACTGATTTATGGCACGAAAACGTGAAAAAATTTATTGCTATGGTATAGAAAGGATTGAAGAGCGAGTATGATGTCGTGTTCAATACGGCTACGTGAATCAGCTTTATCTTCGATTTAGTCGAATGAGAATACGTGTACATTTGATAGACGACAAAAGGAATTTCCAGACGTTTCTTTTCAATTTTTAAACGTCAGGCAGGGTGGCTAAAAGGCAGAGATTATACAGTAACTTTCTAGACTTGATAAAACGATGTACATACACCACAAAGAGACGAATATGGCAACACTAGGGATCTTGTACTTCAGCGGTCCCCCGAGTTCTCCCCCTATAGGCTTGTAAAACCTTCGCAACAGCAGGATGGCGATGCAGACAAATGCTTCAACGGAAAAGATGGTTACCGAAAATGCTAAAGAACCCGGTTGTACGTAAAATGACGTATGATGGACGGCATGGTAGACTGCGGCCACCAACCACGCCAGTCCTATGCCCAAAAAGACGTTCACTGAATTGCTGCCCGTCACGTTGCTTATGCTCGAATCGGCATACGTGTCTTGTACGGCTGAAATGCGGCTGGCGAGTGTGTCTGAAGAGAGCACAGAATGGTCATTTCCACAGTTCACAGGAAAAGTTCACCTACCTGGAACACTTGTTCCAACAGCGAGGAAGCTGATCGCGGTGACGCTATCCAGGAGACCGGTCGCACAACCGAAATGGTTCGCTATGTCGCCTATTAGCGCTGTTAGCAGGCCGATCAACAGGATGGAGAAAACGAAGCATGCCCAGCCGCTCCAATAGTCTTAAAGGGACCAATTCACACAATTATTAAAACATAATGCCAGTTATTATTATTCAGATCTTGATCTATGGTTTAAGGCAACAATTCGCACGGATGGTATAAATTCCTTTCCTCACAAATGCGTTTCTACATCGCACACGAGGAAATCATCGTCAGGGTTATATTACACAAATGAAGCGAAGCAATGTTTCGAAAAGAGTTACGAAAATTAAGAGTAACAATAAAGAATGAGGAAATTACAAATAGACATTTATTGAAACCCATTCGTAATGTTAAAAATGTGCCCAACAAGTTCTACGTGACTAGCTTTCCTTGAAGAATAAGGCATCTTTCAGGATTTTTCAATGGAAGAGTTCCCAGAATATCAAAACCAGGGACCAGTAAAGCCTTCCTCTTAGACATCGCCTCTACAACGATAAATGTATCGAACTGAATAAGGTGACGCTGCACTGCTGATGGTTGTCTATATTCTCCTCAAGATAAACGATTGTGTTCTGGATGATGAGAAAGGACAAAGAAGCTAAAATTTGTCGTGAACCCTGAAAGAGTCTACTAGCAGAACAATGACAATGAAGGATTGACCATCCTGGCCCTTAAGACAACCCTTTCTAGAAGAAATGCATTCTGAGTGGAATCTGGCATGCAAGAATTTTACATTATTATGTGAAGTAGCTATCGAAAGAAATAGTGCAAAGTACATGATCGATGAAGGGATGTGCAGTACAGATTGATAAAGATAAACATGATTTATTGCCTATATGAAAAGAGCAGGCAAAGCGAGGGAATACACTGAGACTATTCCTCCGGCATGCTTACAATGTCAGCCAAGCAGTCGATGGATTGAACCAACTCGATGACCAGTTTTGACAACATATAAAAGCAATTTCGAAAGCCATCAGGATAAAACAAAACCTAATTTAATGTGGAATCACATTAAGATGTCAGTTC